TGCCCTCACGGAGCAGGGGCTGGACACCAGGACCCCGATGCCAGCTCTGCCGCACACTCACCCTGACTCCAGGAAGGCCTCCTCGTGCCTCAGTTTCCCCTCTTAGGCAGGCAGGGCGGGCGGGATCCATCTCGCAGAGTCCTTGGGGTCCGGGTGCAGCCCAGGCTGTTCTGCGGATGCAAGTGGGTCTTTTGTGGTAGGGGCTGCAGGGCGTGGGGGATAGGGGGTGGGATGGGACCGTGCAAGGGGGTGAAGGGGGCAGTCACTTCCCCGCCCCTGCATGGGCACCTGTGGCTGCACCAAGAGGGGTGAGTCCCTCCCGAGGCCAAGCCCAGCCTCCCCCCACAGCACTCAGCTCCTTCTCCTGCCGGTCGGATTCCCGCCTGAGGGAAAAGGAAGGGCCCAGATCAGGGAGGGGGGCTTGGAGCTGCCCTCTGTAGCCCAGCACCAGGCTCTGGGCAAGCATGTGAGGAGCTGAGCAGAGGCAAAGGCAGCTCAGGCTGATGTGCGTGCACATGCACATACATACCACATGCATCATGCACACACACACCGACCATGGACACAGTTATGCACACACGTGCACATGCAAATACTCAGAAATACCACCAATGAACACTCAGAAATGTGCATGTACACACACACGCAAAGACATGTAAACACCACCAATGGATACACAGAAGGCAGCTACACGTGCTGGCTTAAATTTACTGCACAGTAATTTACTGCGTAGTATGCAGGAATAGGCCAGCATCTACATGTGCAGGTGTTAGAGCTCATTAATGCTGTCTGTGGACTGACCAGGGACTAAAGTTAGTCCCAAATCGGTCCACACACACAGTGTCGCTGCACAGTAAGGCACCTACACAAGTTACTGCACAGTAACTAATTGGGTGTAAATATACCTGCATGATGCAGGTATCACATTTATGCTCAAGCTGGCATAAGTCGCCATATTTACTGCACAGTACAGGCATGCACTTGTAGACGTGCCCATACTGCATAGTAATTAAGTAAATGCACATGTGTAGACGTGCCCAGAGATGTGCATGTACATGTGTGCACAGACGCAATGAATACAGAGATGCACGCATGCTGCAAACAGTTGTGCAAAGGCACTCCCAGTACAAACATCTGCACAGCCCCAGGGCCATGAGGTGAAGGGGTGGCCACTCCCTGCAGCCTCAGCCGGCTCCTGGTTTAGTGCAAACACACGTGGGCGGGGCTGCGTGCCCGAACACAGGCATCTCTGCCCCAGCAGCCCCCACTCGGCTTCCCCCGCAACCTCACATACAGCGCTCACCCCCGATGCTGCCCCAGCTCCAGGACATGGGAGCCCTGCTGCTGAGAGCTGTGCACATGTGCGTGTGCACACCAGGCAATGCCCCATGGCTCAGTGCACACAGCATCCTCCATCCCACATGGGGACCACTCCCTGCCCTCCCTCACTGTGCCTGACCTCATGCCCACCCCCCCACGCGCATGACCCACATGCCACCTCTGTGTCACTCCGGGTGGCCCTCTGGACCTGTGCCTTGCTGCTTGGGGACCCATGGCACATGGGTGGCTCCCCATAGGGTAGTGCTATGGACCAGGGTCTAGGGCTCTGACCCTCCCAGCCCACCAGGCGGGTACTGTGAGTGGCCTGAGCAGTGTGCTGGGATCAGGGGGATGCAGCCAACCCCTCCACCCCCAGGGCCGCCTGACCCCCTCACATGGGCGCACACGGCCCCTCCCCTGCGGCTGTGCCCCGAGGCGGGCAGCTCCCTGGGGATGCCAAGACCAGAGCCAGGCAGGCACGAAGGCCCAGCTCTGTCCCTGCTGGGCCCCATCCACCATGTGAAAGGGCCCGATTCTGCCACACGAGCAAGAGGGTGTGGAGACAGCCCATGCTCAGCACTGCGGGAGGGAGAGGGCAGGGCCGGGGGCCTGGCTTGTGCCGGTGGGAAGGAGGGGTAATCGAGAGCAGCCCCAAGGGCACAGAGAAGGTTTGGGCCCAGTCTGTCCCCTCCCCTGCTGCTCCCGGTTGGTGGCCGGGCTAATCCACTCCTCTGTGCCGGCAGCACTGTCCAGCCGTGGGACACGGGTGCTGGAGGCGGTGCTGGAAAGCGCGCAGCTGGCGCTGGAAGCTGCGTTGGTGGAGCACAGGCAGCGGCTGCAGGCCTGCAAGACCTGTGGCAACCAGACCCAGCCCTGCCCCCGTGAGTCCAGCCCCTGCCCCCCGGTGGAGGTGGGGTAGGGAGGGGGCACGGGGGGCTGCCTGGCCCAGCTGTGGCTCCCATCTCACAGACCCATGGCTTGGGAGCCTGGCTGGGGAATAGCGAGGTGTGGGGTGGGACAGGGAGTGCCCCGTCGCAGCAGAGCAGCACTGCCGGACCGTGCCAGCACCGCCCTGGGCACCGCAGACCCCTATGCCAGGCCTCCCTGGAGACCCCTCCAGAGCAGCCTGTGCCTGCACCCGCAGCAACCCCACGTCCCCCAGAGACCTCCCAGGTGAACACATCGGGCAATGCCGCCCCCCGCTCTTCCTGCAGCCCCTGCGGCCCCCCCGCTGTCCTGGCTGCCCCGGAGCTGCCTGCAAATGACTGCGCGCTGAGCTGGGCCTGCAACCCCTATCAGCACCTGTGCCCCCCACCCAGGCGGATGCCCACCACCTCCAGCTGAGGGCTGGGCCTTGCTGCCTGCACCTGGCACAGTGCAGGAGAGGCTGGACCATGCTTGGGTCTTGCTGGGGATCTCTCTGCCCGTGGCTCTGGGGCTGTATTGGGGGTCTCCTGTGGAAGGGGACGGGTGGGGGCACTGCAGAGTGGCGCATGGGGGTGGGCTGAGTGTGGGTAGGGTTGGGCACAGACCCCAGGTCCCAGCTGCCCTGGCTGGACCCCAGACCCAGGCCCCCTGATCCTGGCTGCAGCACCAGGAGCCCTGCAAGGACAGGCTCCGACTCCTCTCTCCGTGCCTCGCAGGGATGCAACGCAGCACGGACCTGCCCAACACCCTTGGGGGCCAGCCACTGCCAGGTGAGAGCCACCCCCACAGCCCCATCCATGGAGGCAGGGGCGAGGCTGGGCTGATGACGGTGGCGATGGCCTGTGCATGTGGGGGGGCGGGGGGGGTCACTCTGCAGGATGCTCCCATCCCACATGGACGCTGCGTCCTGAGGCCTGCAGGCTTCCCCCCGTCCCCCGCAGCGCTCAGCGTGGGCCAGGGCAGCGCCAGGTCCGAGGCCGCCTGCCGCAGGGGCATGGGGGTCAGCGTCAGCAGCTGCCCTGGCTGCGGGGGCAGCGCTGCCCCCCTGGGGGCCCGGTGGCCTGCGGCCCCAGCACACACAGGCTCAGCCGCCCGCTCACCTCGCTAATGGCAATTAAGTTTGACAGCTGCGTGCATGTGGGATGGCACCTCTCGCTGCCACGTGCCGGCACAGCCCCAGCCCGCCCCCTCACCCCACTCCAGCACTCGGCTCTAGAGCGACGGCCCGGCCGTGGGGAGACCCCAGGGCTGCAGCCGCAGGCGTGGGGAAGGGGCTGCAGTTCCAGACCGAGGAGCATCGGTCAGGAGCGAAGGGGGGTGCACGGGGCTGTGGGTCAGGAGTGAGGGGCACCGCAGCACTGGGCCAAGTCCTGCTCCCCCGTGCCCCGTCCAAGCCCTTCCTTCTCTGTTTTGTCCCCAGGCTTGTGCGGCCACCAGGCACTCGCAGCCCCCAATGTCACAACGGCCAAGGGCAAGATTGTGGGTGGCAGCGTGGCACCCCGCGGGGCCTGGCCTTGGCTGGTGTCCGTGCGGCTGGACGGGGAGCTGATGTGCGGGGGGGTGCTGGTGGCACCCACCTGGGTCCTCACGGCCGCCCACTGCTTCACCGGGTACGGGGACAGCGGGGCACGGGCACAGGGGGCAGGGGCACAGGGGGCAGCTTGGCCGCCCACCCACAGGGCAGTGGGTGCTGGGAGTGCTGGGCTTGGGCCCGGCTGCTCCCCAAGGCCCCCCTCACCCAACTGTCCCATCGGCAGGAACCGGAACGAGTTGGCCTGGACAGTGGTGGTGGGTGACTACGACCTGGGCAAGCAGGACGAGGGCGAGCAGGAGCTGCCCGTCAGCCGCATCATCACCCACCCCAAGG